GACTACCTAATCGACAATGCAAGCTCGTAGAAGATTTGTAGAAGGGGAGTGAGAGAGAAGAAGAAGAGAAGAGAGAGAGAGAGAGGAAGAGAGGGGAGAAAGAAAAGGGAGAGGATTCAGAGAGAGGGCAGCAGAAATTGGAGGAGAGAGATTTAATTATCAATTCTAAGTAATAAAATGCAAAGGGTTTCACGTAGTCTAATTCAAGCAGGAAAACAACTAATGCAGTGACAAAGGATACTAGAACATCTTTGAAACTAAACCCTACTTCAGTGCACTGTTCTTTTTCCATCATACTTTTTTTAGAGTGCGTTTGATTACCAATATTTTTCATGAAAAATGTTATTTTTCACCAAAATTCCTACTTTTATGCTGTTTGATTGATATTCTTTTCAATTGATTATGTGGCCATATTTTTCTTGGAAACAACGAAAGTATTTTTTTTTCAAGAGTAGGTTTTTATGTTCCAGGTAATACACTCCCTCTTTCTCTCTCATCGATCCACTCTCTCCTCCATCTACACACCAATAAAAAATGGACAATTATAACATTTTCTAGGGCAAAAATAAAATCAATTAAACATATTTAATTGACTATTTCCATGTAAATAATGAATTGCCTAGAATTTTTTTCCATTTAAATTCCATGCTCGCAATCAAACCCACCCCGCGGCTCTTTTTCCATTCTACTCGTCTTATTGTTTATATCATTGCCCTTTGAGGTTTCTCATTTCTCTTCTTTTTGCAAATTGGATTGAAAACTTTTGTGGTGGCTTTTGGGGTACGCTCGGTGTACTTGTGTTTTATTAGCATCCTACTATGTTTCTTGTATTAATATTATCTTTTTAAATAATTATCTATTTCTAGAACAATCATTGTCTTTTCTAGTTTCTCTGAGGTTTTTGAGAAGAATAAAATTAGGAAGTTGTTTTTGCTATTATGTTTGAAAACCACTTGAAATGATGTTTGTTTGTTATTTCTCTCTCTGAAAGACTCTTCAAGAATGTGATACCTAGGTTCAAAATTTAATTTCGTTAGACTGAGTTATTCATTTTTTTTTTTCAATTTTAAATGTGGGAACGGAAAGAAAGAGATTCAGTATTTCAGAAAATAAAAGACTCAAGCCTACAAACAATGTACATTTCAGGTTACCAGTTACGTGTGGTCTAGTCTTTCCTATTCATTCTTATGCAATTCAATGTCGAAACTCGCATATGATATGGGTTTATTTTGACATTTTACCCTGTTGCAAGTAATATATCGAACTCTACTCGCTGACAACAATTTTTGTCGAGCCTCTTCTATACACTATTCACTATTTTCTTGTCCATACTTATGTTTTATTAGCATCCTACTATGTTTCTTATATTACTATTCTCTTTTTAAATAATTATCTATTTCTAGAACAATCATTGTCTTTTCTAGTTTCTTTGAGGTTTTTTGAGAAGAATTAAATTAGGAAGTTGTTTTTGCTATTATGTTTGAAAACCATTTGAAATGATGTTTGTTTGTTATTTCTCTCTCTGAAAGATTCTTCAAGAATGTGATACCTAGGTTCAAAATTTAATTTCGTTAAACTGAGTTATTCATTTCTTTTTCAATTTTAAATGTGGGAACGGAAAGAAAGAGATTCAGTATTTCAGAAAATAAAAGACTCAAGCCTACAAACAGTATACATTTCAGGTTACCAGATACGTGCAGTCTAGTCTTCCCTATTCATTCTTATGCAATTCAGTGTCGAAACTCGCATATGATACGGGTTTATTTTGACATTTTACCCTGTTGCAAGTAATATATCCAACTTTACTCGCTGACGACATTTTTTGTTGAGCCTCTTCTATACACTATTCACTATTTTCTTGTCCTCTATAGCTATAGTTCCTGAACGATGCATTTTCTGCCTATTCATCACTTCATTTTAAGCAACGATATTTCTTCTGTTTTCTGATATTTGGCTTTAGCCGTCGTTAGGTATGTATATCACATATAATTCTCATGGCTTTTGATGTTAGATACCTCTGCTAATTTCCCTTTATGGAATTCATTGCTTTGAACTCTGTTTCATTGTAATGTGACACTTAATGAACCACTTTTTCTCCCTTGTAGAATTAATGACTTACGATTGTATTTCATGTAGCTTACTTTTTCATGAGGACGAAGAAGAAAGATGTGGGTACCGAAGAAACCGAGTCCCAGGATGTTCCTACCACTCCTGTCTCAAGTTCCGCTAGTGCTACAGTTACTGAGAAGTCACCTACTCCACCACTAGTCATGGAGCCTGCAAAGTTACGTGCGCCAATACCAGAGAATCAGCAGCGTGAATTATTCAAATGGATATTAGACGAGAAGAGGAAAGTGAAGCCAAAAGATCCCGAAGAGAAAAAACGCATCGATGAAGAGAAAGCCATTCTCAAACAGTTCATTCGAGCCAAGTCCATTCCAAGCTTGTGATTTGTATAGCAGTTGACAGAATTAGAACTCAAAATGAAATCTGAATTTGTTCCTTTCCTTTTCTTTATGAAAAGAAATCAGTGACCAAGTTTGCATCTTATTTTCCAAAGTCTAAGAAGCACATTACATGACTTAGACAATAAAATAAACTAAAATTTAACTTCTATTTCTTTCTTACGGCTTGTTTGACATGACTCTCGAAAAGTCAAAAGGAGCTTTTGTTATCCAAAAATTGCTTTTGGACCTGTTTGAATAATTTAATGAAAGTGCTTCTTTTAATTAGAAGAGATTTTAGAGGGAGTTAGATCTAATGAGACTTCCTCTAAAAGTATTTTCGGAATATAAAGTTCCCTTAAAAATTAATTTTCAAATAAAAGTTAAAGTAACTTCTTTTAAGAGTTTTTTTATAGGAAGTAAAAGCAATAGTAAAAGTTATGTTATACGGTCCTTAATATTATTAGTACTATATTGTTAGCCTTAAATGTATTATGATTGTTAACTTTTATGTAGATCTCTGGTAGTTATAATGTTGGATATTGCCTTGGGAGACATCATGAAAGTTCTTGATTATTAGTTTCGTATATGAATGAATAATGCTAGGAATGTAATTTGCTTGGCCAAAATCTTTGTGCTTGGCTAAAATTGGACTATCTTGTTAGGAATGTAATTGGAAAAATTAGGTGCAATACGGTAAAAAGATTAAACATTTGATTAATGCCTTCAAACTAATTTGAAACTATTATTACCGTAATTAATACGTTCAAAATCCACAAGTAAAACCCCAAAATCTGAAACCCCTGAATCAAAGAACCTAGAGAAACAAACCCCTGTTGCAGATTGTGGAGCCCTCCGCTGTTCAGGTGGCGATAATGGTGGCGCTGTGCAGTAGCGTCTTCCTCTCCTCAACCAAAGACTTCGCCAACGCCTCGAACCTCCGACTAGCTAAAGCTGGGCTTTGCGCTCAACTTATCGAACCTTCTAGCTTAACTTGCTCGGAAATGCAAAACACTAACAAAAGATGGATTCGTCCAATCTGATGCTAGATTCTTCCATATATAAATCTCGTTTGAGTCTTTGGCTGGACGTTATTTTTGAAATTTTTTTGGAAAGCAGACAGACTTCTCTCTCTCTTCATTCATGCGAGAATCCCTTATTTCTTGGTGATTTAGGGTACATATTTTGAAGTGATATCTGGAGATTATTCTTGGTTTTGGGACAGGTTTACTGGTTGTTTTCGTCCTTGTGTGGGAACTCCATTTTTTGTGATTAAGGCTTATATATTTTGTTGGTTCCAGTATATGAATGTTGAGAAATCTTTTTTAATATGATATACCTAAATAGTTGTGGACTACTCAGTGGTAGTTTTGCAAGAATCTGTGTCACTTTTATGGATTTTGTCACTTTTTTGAGTTTTTTTTGTCACCTTTTAAGTTTTTGTCACTTTTTTTAATATTTGTCACTTTTTTAAGAAGATAAAAAAGTGACGTAATATGTTATATTTTTCTAATATAATCAATATGTTGGATTGTCCTAGATGTGTGGATTATGTTAAGAACATGTTTAGTAGTGCTGTACAAATGAATTTTTTTTATTTTTTTATCATTGTCACTTTTTTTTTTAGTTTGTATCTCTTTTTGAGTGTTTGTGTCACTTTTTTTTTGTCGCTTTGTTGGAGTTTGAGTCATTTAAAAAAAGAAAAAGTGACAATGTTTCATAAAAAAGTAACATTGTGTCACTTTTTTTATTTTAGACAATATTTTTTACTTCAAAAAATCTTTTCATATGATTTTTCAAAACACTTCAAATTTTAAGGGTATTTTTGTAAGTTGCCCAATGTAATTTACAACTTAATCGCTTCCTTGTTCATTCTTAAGCGTTTAGACCAATCAGGCAATCGCCACCACTCTCATCGTCAATCACTTCCATCCAACACCCTTGCTATGACTACCACTTGTATTCCCATCTCCACCCTTGCTACTCGAGTTGGTTGGCCATGTTATGGTGAATAAAATGTTGGATGGTGGCTTGGTACAAAGATTGAACAAAACAAATTTTATTTACAACTTTAAACAAAATCTTGAATCGAAAAATATTGTCGATTTTTTATACCAACAAAATATAGATATATATAAAAGGTAAATATTATTTGGGACCAAAAACACTCCAATAGTACAAGAGTAATGTTATCTAACATAATTAGGGTTTAACGTCAGTCTAGATAAAATTAAAATATATTTTTCTCCCTCTTCCTTTAATATTTCACATAGATTCAAAAAATTTTAATCACATTCTCCATTAACTTGTTATTATTATTATTATAATTTTTTCCATTTTCGGCTCTTTTTAGGTCGGGAAAAATGAGTAAAAAACAAGTTTAAAAACTCCAGGGCTATAAACCTAACGCCACCGTTCTTCAATTCTCATTCTCCCCGTTCTCCCGGGAAGCATAAAATATTTCTTCAGAGGTTCGAATTACCGTTCCAGTATCTAGTAATCGAATTTAAATTGTTCTAAAAACTAGGTTTCGAAATTGTTTTGTTTCTTTTTTCACGAAAGAGGAAAATATTCCTGCCGTTTTCTCGAAATTCTCATGTTTTCAGTTGAAATTAATTTTGAAATATCAACTCTTCCAGATGCTTGGGAATTAATCATCTAAAATTATCTGGGTTGTAATTTTATTTTAGTATTTACTGTGATTTAACAAGAATTTGGATTTAAATTCTTGTATAATTATATTTTATTTATTTTACGCGTTGATCAGAAATCTGAATTATGTTTTTTTTTTTTAATGATTTTGGCAAGCAGAAACGATTTGTTTCTTAGATTTTGGATTAATTTGTGAAAACTAGCTGTTTAATTTTTGCTCTTTCCCTTTGAGTGCTGTGTGTATGGACATGCCTGTTAACTAGTCTCACTTGTTAAATGATTGGATCTGTTTGTTCTAAATAATTAAGTCAATTTTAGGATGCTTGTCATGGTTATGCTAGGTTTTATGTTTATAGCTATTTTTTTGGGCTAGTTATTAATGTTATGATAATTAATGGTTTTTTAGTCCAATTAAACTATGTTGTCTTGAGTCATGTTATCAGTGTTAATTAATGATGTGCTTTTCTTTTTATCTAATCAAGTTATGTTGCTTTCGGCTATGTTATCTCCATGTGTCACGCGTAATAAATTGGGCAATCTTTTTTCCTTTATGTTCCCTTAAACTGTAAAAAAGAATTGATCGTTCTTGCAATTGAGGCTGTTGAGTAGTGAATTACTTGGTGGAATAAAAGAAGCTCAGATTGCGTGCCTGTATCTGATTTCCTAGATTTACTCATTATGAAATGGTTATTTAGATTCTTCTTTTTGTGCAATGATTCATAGGCATTTCAAATATTTTTATTCTTCAACCAAGAATTGTATTAACTAACTAAATTCCTGGGCGGTGGATGGGATAGTTTGAAGGTCCAGGTACAAAATATTAATCTTGAGCTTAATTGATCTCATTTGCAAGGAAAAACAAATTCATACCTTGTCATGTGCGATGATGTTCACATTTAGGATTAGTTTGTGCTTCAAAAGGTTCATACACAACACCTGGAGACTGGTGTCCATAAAAGTTATACAACGTGCCTTTAACATACTGTACAAGTAATAATCTGAAATTGGAGTGATACAGGTTAGGCTAAGTGTAGGGTTGCATGAATTACTTACAGTAATAGCAATGTCACGTGGGAAGTCAAAGATGTCAAGATTCTTGTTGTAATTTGTTCAAGTGTTCTCATTTCCTCAACCTCATAAAATCAAGTCACATCTTGAACAAGTTTGGTTGCATTCTTTTTCATATTTCATTTGAGATTTCCCTATAATCTTAATTCTTTGATCTATTGGCACGTCAAATTGATGCAGCTGACAAAAACATCCTAGTATTGGCCTTTTATTGAACCAATAGATGGCTATTTAGGTGGCTCCTATCTCTATACAAAGGGCATCATTATTGCAATGAGTCTGTAAAGAGTGTATCTCAAAGTGCAGTTCCCATTTAAGCATTTTTCCTTTTATTTACACATGGGTTGCACTCAACACTTAAAAAATTCAATCAGCTTTTGAATGTAGACATTGTAACATCACTATGCCGCTGTCAATTCCTGCCTGCTATATTAGTCTTTTTTTGTCATAGATAATTTCCTTTTGTTTTCAGTTTTATTTATATCACTTATTTATTCTAATTGTGTTGTAAATGAAGATGGCTGGAAGAAATCGCATTCCTCGTGAAGCTTTAGATCACCGACACGTTTACCCTCAGGGGACCCCTGTTGTTCGGGGTCCTTTGCCCCGTGTCATGCCTCACCCTGCCCTATTAGAGGAAGAGCTTGAAATGCGACATGTTGAAATTCGCCGTCTTTTGGGCGAAAACCGGAGACTGATAGAAGATCGGGTATCTCTGGAGCAAGAATTAAATGCTGCTAAGGAGGAGCTTCGTCACATGAATCTTGCCATTTCTGATATTCGTGCTGAGCAAGATGTGCATTCAAGGGAGCTTATTAAAAGGGGTTTGAAGATGGAAGCCGATCTTCGTGCAACTGAGCCTCTGAAAAATGAGGCCATGCAACTTAAAGCTGAAATTCAGAGGCTTAGCACCATTAGGCAGGATTTATCTGTGCAGATTCAGACTCTCAGGCAAGATCTTGCAAAGTTGCAGGCTGATAACCAGCAAATTCCGCTTTTGAGGGCAGAGATTGATGGACTGCATCAGGAGCTTCTGCGTGCTAGGTTTGTGTCTATTTCTCCTGCTTAAAATATGAAACGGCGATTGTCTAGAGTACAAACTACTGTGTGATTGCATGGATCAACTGCTTATCTGCTTGAGTTTTGTATTTGATTTGCAGAGCTGCTGTTGAATATGAAAAGAATGCGAAGATTGAGCTGATGGAGCAAAGGCAGGCAATGGAGAAGAATTTGCTGACCATGGCACGTGAAATTGAAAAGCTGCGTTCAGATCTTGCTAATTCTGATGGTAGAGCAAAGGGCGCAGGTTGTTGCTTTCATCTTTACCTCTTCATCTTTTCTTTTTAAGGTCTCTTTACCTCCAAGGAATTGATATTATAATTGCACAGATTAACTGGAAATCATGTCAAATTGCCATTTTCTTCTTCTCCTTTTTCAAGGCATATGCTCATGCATGAGTATCTTGTTTGATTCCATTTACATGTATTTACGAGTCATGTACGATTCCTCTCTCCACATTGTCAATACTAACAAGATCTATTTCTTATTTCTCCTTTGAAGTGTTTCATCGTAGATTCGCTTTTCTTTAAACATTAGTATTTTTTGTGGATATACGAAGCCTTTTTTGCCATCTCCTACCTATGGGTATGATCTTGTATTCCTTTTGCCTGAACTTGAATTTTTTCTATTTCACATAAAGATTACTCCTTTTTCGGTTCAGAATTTTACTGCAGCAACCCAGGCAGAATCTCTTAGATATTTCTCTCAGACATGGCACTTTTGGTTCCTCAAATCCATGATATACTTATTTTGACTGGGTATCCTATTGAGAAATGTTGGATAAATTATCCGGAATTGCTCTGGAATGTAGGCTTCTTCTAAGATAAGTAGAAAACCACTGGTTGAATCTTTTCATTTCTAAGTGGTTCCAAACGTGAATCTTAAGCTTTCCATAAAACGTTGGAACATGTTATCATGCAGTTTTTTAACCTTGATACAGTAGCTTCTCATTTGTTGAAAATTTTGCAAATTGTCAAGTTATGCATATAATAAATACAAATTGCTTGCTTGGGGAAATCTTCGATTTCTGAGAAGCATTTTATCTTGCCAACTCTTTATATTCTTTCCATATGCCTTTGCGCTGCTTAATACTTGTTAGATGCAGTTAGCCAGCACAAATAGTAGTATAGTTTTTTGTTTAACATAGTGACCAGATACCCAAGACTCAGTCAGCTATCGCAACCAAATATAATGCTTAAGGTGTATAATTTAACGAAGTGTTTGAGATTATGTGTTTCTATCTTTACCTTAGACTTTTTGATAAAATGCCAGAAGTTATTGGTTCATGATTAGCTATTTAAGTTGTGAGAGAGCACATCTTTGATAAGTGACAAGAGAAGGCATTTAAACCTAGCGACTTCAACTCGTCTGCTCACACATCATTTTGACTGGTGATGACTGATGGTTGTGAATATTCGTTCCGGTCAAATTGTAAGAATCACTGACCATTGAGATGCTGGGAGAAACTCTGCAAGATGTTTAGGTGGTCTCGTGCCCCTAAGAATTGTTCTATTGCTTGATTGCAAAATACAGATTAAATTTAATAGTACAAATGTGATGAAACAACGCAAGAATGAGATGAACTTACTACTGGCTTGTTTAGCAAAAGAAGAGGATGGTGGGAGCTAAAAAATTAGTCCATATAAAATCAAGTAATATATGAGTTGATTGGCTAAATTGTTTATCCCTTCATAGCATCATGCGTTCGATTTAGGTATAGGATGATTTTAGGCCACTTGCACAATTTAGTGTTCTTGCATTTGTTTTTGGCTGGTGACTCAATTGATATTCAGGGTTTTGAAGTTTGGGTCCATTTGGTTGCTAGTACCCAGATTTGAAACAAGCTGGTTCCTATCTGTGATTGTTGGCTTTCTTGTCTTCTGAAAACATCCACTTCAGAATTTTGATGCATGAAAAATTCGTTAGTGTGTTTGTGATCAGTCCTATTTTGCCCAGCCTCATTTGGTGATGCCTATAGTGCTAAGCACCTAAGTGAAACTATGTTCATGTCTCTGCATTTTTTGCAACCTGTTTCCAGAATATGGATGGGCTGAAACTTTTTGCAACCGTTTTCTAACTTCTTTTCCATTTTCGATGCATGATTATATTTTCATAAAAAAAGAGGGTAGAAATTACATTTAGCGAGGCTAGCATGGAGAAACAAATCTTTCCAACTTCCATTACTGCAATTCTTAACTTATCTATGGCTATTCTGCTGTTTTTCTTGTGTTCTAACTTCTTACGTTCTTGGTGCTGAAGGTGGACCTCTTAGGATGAAGTTTACCAGCTCCGACCGCAGCTTCCATACACCATATGGTGATGGATATCGGAATCCTGTGGTATGAATTCTACTATATCGATGCTTCCAATATTTGTATAGGTGTCATTAATCGCATGTTGTAAGGTGAAGTTATTTTGATGGATCAACATTTCTGTGTCTTTCCTCAGGGCGCTGCTGACAAGGGTAATCTATATGGTTCCAGTTCTGCTTCTTGGGGAGGCTTTGATAAATCTCGGATGACTCGCCGCTAAGATATTGATGGCTTTATGAACTTCATGAGCTCGCACTTTGCTAGTCTTCTTTCTCTGCTTCCAAATGAAGGAAATGCGAAAGAATGTGTGATTCATGAATTTGTGCGTACTACCCTGTAGTTTAATAATTAAATATGGGTTGTTTTCTTTACCGACTCTATTAGAGATTAAGATTGGCATCTTTTAATTAACGAGTTTGTATGTCTTCCTTTATGCTATAACTGGGTTAATACTCTTATAATTTTCTGGCTTCACTAATTCATATATACATCATTCATTTTCATTATTTTGCACATTGTGACCTTCTCTGGAGCAGGTTGGTTGGGATAGCTTTGAAGAATGCTAAGTAAAGATAGGTAATATTTGAGTTGCATGGTGACAAGGGGGTAACTATCGATGGTCTTCTGTTGTTAAAGCTTTGTGGATTTTGTGAGGATAAATATCATATTTGTTATTGAGAAAATATATGAAGCATGGTGAGGCGCCTTATGGTCTTTGATGGTGTGAACTTGATTCTTCACTGGCAATTTATAATTTCAGACGTGTCAGAGACTTTTGATGACTCCATCTTTCTATATCATAGTTTAATGTGATTTAATATGATATAGTTATGGTCATGAATTGACAATATTTGGAATAGAGTTGAATAGTGTTACATCCTTCTTAATCTAGGAAAGTTTATTGAATCAGGACGACTCTCCCGATATGACCAAAAAGTGCTTTGTAGTTCCTGTCTGGAAATTAGTTCAATTTCAAGGTGACAAGGCATAAATGATTGACTACAAGCAGCAGTATCAAATTTTGATTATTTGACGGCTTTATTTAATCTTTGGGTGAATGGGGAATTTTATATTAGGTTCTGTGCTGTAAGAAATTTTTCTGTGATGATCAAATTTCTGTAGGTAAGTTTCCTGGATTGAGTGCTCTATTTTGCATCTATATTCTTGGGTTGCTTGGGTCTGCTCGGCATCATCCTATAGGAATATCTTATTTAGTTCCAATCTGGAGTATTTGATAGGTGAATATGCTACGTGTTGAATAAAATCAATTTCTTTATCACACACTTCATATCATGGACTAGATGCACTCTTATTGAATTGAGGTGGCATTGGAGAATGGATGGCATTGTTGATCTCTCTTTCAAAAGCAAAGTGAAAATTTGAGTATGCAGCCCACGTCCTTTTTGCCCTTTTCTGTCAGGGGTTCCTGAAGCTATTTGGGTTGAAAGAGAATGTGCTCATAGGCTGTATTAGTCGTTATTGATGAATGATGATTTCAGGTAGACATGAATATTAGTAACTACAAGTTTACGTGCCTGGTAAAGTGATATATCTTGAGCATTATCGTATTCGAACGACCATGATGGTAATTGAGTGATGCGTTTATATCGTCCATTTGGGTTGTTGAGTAAACTTTGTTTACCCATGCTTGAAAAGCTGGGAAATGGAATTTGGCTTTATTCTTTGTTTTAGGTTTGTTTGGTGGAAGGCAAATGTTTAAGCTTGGTTGAGTTTTACATGGAATAGATAGATCTTCTTTTGGTTAATCATTTGAGTGCCACAAATGTTGGACATAGTATTAGATGATTAGTCAAAGAACTTGTAGTGTCTTTACTGACGTACTTTCACCTGTTCGGACTCTGGTTATGGCAGCAACACTGCATCCTCGAATGAAATTTTTGGTTGAATATCCACTTTTGTGTTGCTCTGCTATACTTTCTGTAGTCTAAGTTATTTCAGCCGCCCTTTTGGTAAATGAGTTGCTGCTTTGTGCGTCAAAGAGAAGGAAAGACAGTGGCAGAGATTCTGTAAGATGAAGCTACCTTCCCACCATAACGAATGCACTCGGTGCCGAAAAAGAAGCTTCGTGGATTGCAGCGCGGCTGATCTGAACCTCCTAGGCAAGTATCCTCCTCCTGTTTTGTGGGTTTCATGTCTCACTAGTGTATAATTTATCACTCTCTGTTGTATTTAGGTGCATTTAGATGTAGATTACACCCTGCCCTTTATCCATATGTTAACCCTGTTGGGCATGCTCTAATTTGGGACACGTCTCTTGTCGTCAAGGATTGTGTTCTTTGCTTTATTTCAGTCAGACGCCATGCTTAACATAATTCATTTAGATGGAATTTATAGTTTGCGCTTTCTCGATTCACCAACCCTCTTGCATGTGTTCTTACTTGGCTTCTGCTGTTTGCTTTATTCTAGCCACGTTTCATGATTAACACTCTCGTTGTGATGGTGCTCAATTGAGGTTCGTGGTTCTTATGGGGTGAATTTATGGAGGTATATCCGATGAGGGTGGAGAGACTTTTGGGATAGATTGACGTTTGTGATGGGGAATGGCAATAATATCGGATTTTTGGAAGATTGTTGGTGTGGAAACTGGCCGTTAAGAGTGAGGTTTCCTTCTTTGTATCATATTGCTTTGATGCCATCTGCTATGGTGAATGAAGTCTTACTTATACATAATGGGAGTCTCAGTTGGAGCATTGTTTTTGGAAGGTGTCTGCAGAACTGGGAGTTGGATGATTATATACTACTTTTGATCTCTTTGTATGAGGTGCACATTAAGGTAGGAGAGGGTAATTATAGTAGGTGGAGGTTGGTATAATTTATCACTCTCTGTTGTATTTAGGTGCATTTAGATGTAGATTACACCCTGCCCTTTATCCATATGTTAACCCTGTTGGGCATGCTCTAATTTGGGACACGTCTCTTGTCGTCAAGGATTGTGTTCTTTGCTTTATTTCAGTCAGACGCCATGCTTAACATAATTCATTTAGATGGAATTTATAGTTTGCGCTTTCTCGATTCACCAACCCTCTTGCATGTGTTCTTACTTGGCTTCTGCTGTTTGCTTTATTCTAGCCACGTTTCATGATTAACACTCTCGTTGTGATGGTGCTCAATTGAGGTTCGTGGTTCCTATGGGGTGAATTTATAGAGGTATATCCGATGAGGGTTGAGAGACTTTTGGGATAGATTGACGTTTGTGATGGGGAATGGCAATAATATCGGATTTTTGGAAGATTGTTGGTGTGGAAACTGGCCGTTAAGAGTGGGGTTTCCTTCTTTGTATCATATTGCTTTGATGCCATCTGCTATGGTGAATGAAGTCTTACTTATACATAATGGGAATCTCAGTTGGAGCATTGTTTTTGGAAGGTGTCTGCAGAACTGGGAGTTGGATGATTATATACTACTTTTGATCTTTTTGTATGAGGTGCACATTAAGGTAGGAGAGGGTAATTATAGTAGGTGGAGGTTGACAAAGGATGGTATTTTCTTAGTTGGCACTTATTTTAGATTTTATTGGGAGCCGTGGAGAGCTCATTCCCCTTAAAGATGGTATGACAATGTAAATTGCCCCCCTCGGATGGCATTTTTACTATGGACAGTTGTGATGGGACAGATGCTAACGGTGGATAACTTCTCAATAAGGGGTTTTATGTTATGGAGTGGTTTTATATATATAGGAGGAATGGGAAGACGATTGATCACTTGTTCCTTCAGTGTGATTGTGTTCGTTCCTTGTGGAACGATATTTTGGCTTTCCAACAAATTGATTGGGCGTTTTCGTGGCGTATGGAGGATATATTGAAAGCATGAAGGAGAAAATTCCGTAATAAGGATAGCAACCTTGTTTAGGACCTTATTATAGGATGCATCGTCCGACGTGTGTGGAGGGAGAAATAATCGTTGTTTTGATGATCATACATGGACAACAGAACAGATTAATTCGACATTGTATACTTGGTTTAATGTTGAGGCTATTATTCATATAGACGGGCTGTCCAATTTTATGTTGTTTCTTTTTTGTAAAAATTGATAATACACTTGTGTATTATTCGTGTAATAAAATATTTGATTACTTATAACAAAAAAAATAAAAAAATTCTTCAGTTGAGGGATGATTCTGAAGTATTGTTTTTATCTGATGATATTTAGCTTTAAGACATGATCCAATGCAGTTAAGGAGAGGACACGTCATGTGGTTATATCTGGTGTCTTATTAAAGCAGGAACATGAATTTTATTTTCTCATTTGCTCAGGAATATATTTTAGTTAGTCTACTGTAGCGAGGAGTGCATGCAAGAATTGCAGCTATCTAGATCAGTCTTGTCAAATAACAAGGAGCAGTTGCTTTAGGGTTTTTTTATGACAGTATTTTTATATAATGCAGAATCTATGTTACGGTCCCCCAGGAAGTGTTTGCTTTGAGGTGGTGAATTTATTGAACTCACAGAGCTGTCGCAAAGTTTGACCTCAGCTGTGACCACGGTTCAGACATCAGATAAATTTTAGCGTGGTCTTGGACCTTTCTTCTGAGTAATGACAGATTAATTCGACATTGTATACTTGGTTTAATGTTGAGGCTATTATTCATATAGACGGGCTGTCCAATTTTATGTTGTTTCTTTTTTGTAAAAATTGATAATACACTTGTGTATTATCCGTGTAATAAAATATTTGATTACTTATAACCAAAAAAATAAAAAAATCTTCAGTTGAGGGATGATTCTGAAGTATTGTTTTTATCTGATGATATTTAGCTTTAAGACATGATCCAATGCAGTTAAGGAGAGGACACGTCATGTGGTTATATCTGGTGTCTTATTAAAGCAGGAACATGAATTTTATTTTCTCATTTGCTCAGGAATATATTTTAGTTAGTCTACTGTAGCGAGGAGTGCATGCAAGAATTGCAGCTATCTAGATCAGTCTTGTCAAATAACAAGGAGCAGTTGCTTTAGGGTTTTTTTATGACAGTATTTTTATATAATGCAGAATCTATGTTACGGTCCCCCAGGAAGTGTTTGCTTTGAGGTGGTGAATTTATTGAACTCACAGAGCTGTCGCAAAGTTTGACCTCAGCTGTGACCACGGTTCAGACATCAGATAAATTTGAGCATGGTCTTGGACCTTTCTTCTGAGTAATGACATCTATTGAAGTCGCTGGTTTACTATATGCATTCTGGAGGGATGGTTCCATTATATTTGGGTGATTCTTAGTTATTATTGTTCTACAGGTCCTCACTTTATTTTTAAACCATGTGCTTGAATTTGAGGTTGCTGCTTGTGCAGTTTAACGTGATAATTATTGATTAATATCGCTGCTAAGTTTTCCTGGGAACAATCTTCTATGTGGGCAACTGGATCTCGTCCAGTCATTGATTGAAATTGGAGTTTCGTCAAGTACAAATAGGTTGTGTTAATCAGGGAACTGCATGTCCTCATATGGCACGTTTTCATCATTAAGAATTTGATCCGTCAGGGGGTTGATTTTATTTGGTTATGCAGCCGCATCCTTTCAAGGGTAAAGATAAACTTATGCTTCTTCCATTCATGCTCATCTCTTGAGATGTGTGAAAGATTTGATGTGAATAGTTTTTTTAGTATATTGTATGGTCACTATTCCCGATAATTCTGAGGATGGCCCAAGGAATACAAGTGAGGATCCAAACAATGTCACTTTCATGGTTTATGTAGTTGGACGTGATGAATATGCTGCTGTCTTTTGAGATTTTAATGAACTAGATTCTGGAATTGCCAAGTCTTTCAGATGGTCATCTCTACATAGGCAGAAGTCATTATTTAATTTTGTAGTATGTTGGTTTTTCTGTTTACTTTATTATGCTCACTACTCAAAATTACTAGTTTAGTTAACTCCTTTTCAGAACTCCATTTATTTCATTAATATATTTTTTGTTCTCTAATATAGTTATCCATTTCTTTTCTTGCAGATGCAGAACTGGTAAGCTCCTTTATCCGAAATTTCATTGCGAGGTAAAGTAAAAATATTCAGGTAGCTTCTTATTTTGTTGAATATTGAATCTAAAAATTTTTCTTGATAATACGCGAAAAGGAAAATAGATGATTATGTCAAGGTACAAGGTTCATTGTGGTTCTCGGTCAAAGGTAATTTGAAGCTTTATTTTGTCAAGCTTTTATCCTCGGGCTTCAATTTATCCTGTGATCTAATCTGGGTAAGGTTAAATTATAGAAATTTTTTCATCTGATTGTAGGAAAGGTGTTAACCCTTGGGAAAATGATAATTGTTTAGGCTGGTGATGGGAACTAAACATGTTATGTTTTTTACGCAATATTAGACAGGGTGGAATAGTGTTGTGATATCAAAATTTTAGTTTCTTTTTTCTGTAGTATTATCCAAATGCTATCCATCCTCCATACCAAACGTGCTACTAGTGCCCTTGTTTGATCCCCATTTTTTTGGAAAAAATGAATTCTTCAACAGTGTTTTGACATAATTTCAACCACACATTCTTCAATAAAATAATATTACACGCAAATCCAAAACTTTTTCCTATTTTTTAACCACACATTTCACATCAATACACTATTCAAAAATTCATTTTCCCCATCAAAATGTGGCTCAAACAAGGGCAGTATCTCGTGTTGTGCATAAAATTCCTTCAGTTTTTAGTCAGCGGCAACATTTTCCCGTTAAGCTTGGAAATGGCTCTCAACTGCTTTAAATTTTTTGTTACTTTTGTTCTTTCTTTAATGACAGATATATGAGCTTGTTGGCTTGTGCTTAAAGTTACTTTTCTTGAAAATAAGTTGACACTTCTCAAAAGTAACTTGGAAAATAATGTTTGTCAAGGTAAATGGTTTGATTAACTTTTGAGCTCGGCCAAACATGCGCCTTTGCAAAAGGGCTGGTGGGTAGAGATTTTATGGCCTTGTCTATTTCACCATCTTTTATTTAATAGAATGCATGTCATGCTATAAAAATGATTTATGTATTTTTAGTTTTGCCAATTGTTACTCAAATAGATTTCCTAGTTACCATTTTGGGTTTAGTGGTGGCGGCTGATCTCCGCAAACCACAAGATGAGAAGATCACGAAGGCTTTCCATTTATCAATTTTGATTACCCGGATCTGTTCTTCGTGCATATTTATGTCAGTTAATGGATTTTTGGTGAGTTCTCTCACAGTGTGTGTGTGTGTGGGTTTTTTGTTTTTTGTTTGTTTTTTTTTTTTTTTGGGTCTCCTCGATTCTAATATGTGTCGATTGCTTTATAAAACTTTGAAAATTGATTTGACCTCAGAATTCCCTTACCTTATCCATTTTTTAGTACATCCACGTACTTAATATGCAGTATAAGAGACATATGTAGTCGATCAATCTAACAAACTTTCAGTTCATTCATAATACTGTCAAATGGTAATTCTCTAGTTCATAAAATATGGTACAAATGTTATACCATCCATTCATTTGAAATTAGTTCAATTTATAACATCAAAAGATAGAATATAAAGATTGCTCGGATTATTGAACCATTCTATGTTTGAAACATGACAGGAATTTTGTTCCTCTTCAAAGTAGAAGCTTTTTTTAACATTGGTATCGCGTACCCATTGTTTCTTCGGAAGAAGATTTCGTCTAAAATAAATTAGCCCTCTAGACAATTAAAAACACCACTGGATTATAAAATAGTACTATCTAAATAAAATATTTCACCCAATTGTGGTAAGTTTTACTCTAACTGTAGTAGGATAACAATAACTGATTTACCGAGTTCTGCGCTCTAGAATTCAATCGTTATAATCAATTGGGATTTGCTACAAGGGGTCATGCTATATGATCACAAACCTTGACACATCGATAGACACATTCACTCACATAGGAAGGTCGGCATTATTTTATTCACTCGGGACCCATATCTCGGTTGTGAGAGATGTGTCAAACAATGTGGTCATTTAGTTTAATTCTTGTTATAAGTACCCGGGCATTTACCTGTCTGGTTATACGCCCCACATTGGGGGTGGGGGCCATGCACACATGGTGGCAGGTCCTGCGCATTTATTGTGAACGGGTCTCGCTCCTAATGTGAGGGCCTTGTAAACACTCGGGTACAAATAGATTAATTCATTGGACTTTGCTATTCTAAAAGAAACGTGACCTCTTACCAATTTGTGTTGTAATCTACTAATAACGACTTGAAGATTACCAAGACAAGTTATGTTGTTATCCATTAAAGTCACTTGAAAAGTTTTGGGACGAATAAAAAGTCATTTCTTTTTTGATCTTTAAAGGTGGAGCGTCTTTCCTCTATTTGAGAAAATTTATAAATGTTCAAATTTTGTTTTGAATTTCATATTTTGATGGATTACTTTTTTTTTTTTTTGTTTTTTTTTTCTTTTTTTTTTTTTTTTTTTTTTTTATGTATTATTTTACTTCTTCTTTGTTTGAGGCTCATTTTTAGTTAAAATGCATTTTAGAATGGTATTTTGTTGAAGAATGCGTTGTTAAAAGATTAATTTTGCACATAAAATTATTTTTTTGAAAAACGTGTAATTGAAAATAAATTTTGAAAACATGTGGTCCAATTATTAATTAAATCAAAGGGGGACCATTAAAGTGCATAAACATTAAAGGGAGGTTTATTTTACACATTAAAACATAGAACCATGCTGCTCTGCCAGGGAGGGTCTTGACACCCTTCCTGACCTACTCTCACATTTGGGGGTCGGTAGAGCATTTTCTTGCATTTTAAGGGGGGTGTATTCAATTGAGGCTTTTAATGACTTCTTGAGATTTAAAATGTTTAGGGGTATTCAATCGAGACTTTTTAAGACTCTTTAAAAGTCATGGTATATTCAATTAAAACTTTTATAGACTTTTAAAAAGTCTCTAAAAGTTAAGGTGTATTCAATTAAAACTTTTTAGAAATCTCTATAAGTCTTAGGGTATTCAAATTTTAATGACTTCCAAAAACTTTTATAAAAGTCTCTAACGTACTAATTTTTAAGCAGAAAGTACTCATATAATATTTTAAGCCTTGTCTCTCATTAACCACGAGATTTTGGGAGACGTTTACTAAAAAAACTTTTTTTTTTCAATCTTTCTTTCTTTTAATCTTCTATGAATATGTATAATTAAAATTTATTTTTCTATTTATTATATTTCATTTATTTTTCTTTCTCTCTTTTATTATTTATCTCTATTTTCTCTGAAAAAATTAAATTGGATTCTTATAACCTTTTTTCTTTTTTTCATTCATTTTTTGTGAAAAATACCTAAATTATAAAAAATTATAATTAAATTTAAATATATTAATTTTTATTTATTTTTAAAAGTATACTATACTAATAATATTGAATCATATATATATTTATAATTTTGATTATTAATTATTTAATTAAAGTCTTAAATTTTTATTTTTTTAATTTTTTTTTATTATATGGGAAGAAGAAGGGGAAGGAAAAGGAGAATTATGAGAACTAACATCTCGTATGTGAGAATCTTACACCAGATTCATGTGAATTATATTTCAAATGAAAGTCTTCAAAAGTCTTTTAAATTCCATAAAAGTCTATAAAATTTTAAAATGAAAATCCATAGAAGTTTACGAAAGACTTCCACTAATTCCATACAAATTTTTAAAAGATCCACGAAATTCACAAAAGTCATCACTTAAAAAAAGTTCATCAAAGTTTTCAAAAGTCTCAATTAAGTACACCCTCCTAAATTCACCTCGGGTCCATCCAACTTCACACCCATGTGACTATCTGTCAAAAGGGTGGGCAAAAAAGCCCTCGCAGGCCAACAAATTTCTAAACATATGACACAGACAATTCATAATTTATTCCCTCGTTTACACCGCCAGCCATTCAATTCCCCCAAGCCGTGAAGCCTTTTATCTTCTATCTTGCACACTTTCCAAATTTCCCATAGCCAAAAACTTCAAACTTGTCGGAGATGACGAATTACGGCACGATTCCGACATCATCAACGCCAGCCACCACGACTTCAAGAACTGAGTATCTAACACGCGCCAAGGAACGCATCAAAGAAGGTCTCGGCACGCGCCGCTCATGGCGCGAGATGTTCGACTTCCATGCCTTCAAACTCCCGTCCTCCACGGACGAAGCTGTTTCTCGGATCAAAACAAACTTCGCCTACTTTCAGATGAACTACGCGATCGGGGTTCTATTGGTTATATTTCTCTCCCTTATATCGCAGCCCATTTCGCTCATCGTGTTGGTGGCGATAACGGCCGCATGGCTGTACTTCTACTTCCTCCGCGACGAGCCGATAGTGATCTTCGGCAGAATTATTACCGATCAAAATGTGATGATTGGTTTATCGGTTATTACAATCGTTCTTCTGCTGTTGACTGGCGCCACTACGAATATTTTGTCCTCGCTGTTGGTCGGTGTAGTGGTGGTTCTGATTCACGCCGCCGTGAGGAAAACTGACGATCTGTGCACCGATCCGGAGGCTTCTGGAGGCTTGTTGTGGCCTCCAGCCTCCAGGTAGTGCTCTGCCCCTCCTTAATTCTCCTATTCGCGATCTTCGGTAGAACAATGACTATTCTCCTCGTGTTGATTTCTGATCCACTAATGTTTTCACTTCGCTGTTGGTCGGACTGTAGTGGTGTTTGCTGATTCGCGCTGCCGTGAGGAAAATTGAATGTTTGTGCTTCGATCCGGTTGCTGCCGGAGGTTTTTCGAGTTTGTTCTTCTTTTTATTCTTCTGTAAGTTCGGCCAATCATTATCAGTAATCGTTATTTGGTTGTTCGAGCTTCATTTATTTTCCTTTCAATGTATTTTTGAATAGTTTATCGATAAAAAATGTGTGGTTAAAAAATAAAGAAGAATTTTGAATTTGTGTGCAATATTATTTTATTAAAAAATTTGTGATTGAAATAATATCAAGTCACTAATCAAAAATGTATTTTTTTTTTAAAAATATGGCTTAAACATGACCTTATTTTGAACATTTTTCTTCTAATGTGTGAGAGTACTTTATTAAAGTGGGTTTTCAATTTAATTTTATTTAAGAAAATAATATTTTTTATAACGGACCGAGTTCTTATCTTTTATTAACACAGGTTGTTGCTATGATTAAGGGCATGTGTTCGAAATAACGTGAAATCTATTAAAAAGTAAAAGAGAGTTCAATCCATAATTGGTTGGCTAAATTTCAATCTTGTAACTTTGATAGTATTTGTTGATTCTGAAAAATGGACCTTTACGTGGACAATAAAGAGCAACTCCATGTTTATTTCTCCTTGCACACTTGGTACAGACAGTCATTGCTAGTGGCCTTTCCCAATGATGATGGTTGTGACCACAAATACTTTCGACAATCAAGTGATTGTAATTGTTACAAATGATTTTGGTAGCGAAAATTGCGGAATCTCTATGTTATCTCAATGGGATTGGTGGGAGGTAACTAGTAGTTACTTAAATAGTGAAGCTATATTACCTTACACAGGCATAGAGTGCAAGTATTTATAGAGCAATAGGTGGAAGAAGAATCGTTAAATGGAGAACATGTGGCTTCGTTTGCTAGTTAGAAGTGTCTTTTTATAGACGTCTATCTATCACTCCATAAGTGGGCAGGTATTTAATGTTTTTGGATTCCAATTGACACATTAGCATCCGTTGTGGAGATGTTACATCCATCATTTATAAAATTGTATGGACAAATATTTGTCTAAAAGATCCGCATCTTATGCATAAGCATAGACTCTAACCAACGGGTGTATGTTCCAGGTGATGGGACTTTCTTCATGAGGATGCTATCCACTTTGTATTCTTGCCTCGTTTTATGCTAGTATACCAAGGGCGGATCCAGCCTTGAGGTTGATCACAGGCTACAATACAAATATTCATGGATTTATCTTTAAGAAAAAAAGAAAAAAATACATTAAGGAAAATTAGACATTTTCAGGATCCAGGCACAGGCTATAGCACGGTCGAGCTCGTGCTTGGATCCGCTAGTGTAGTATACTATTTAGGTGCTTTGTCGCCTTGGAGTTCTATCTACTTCGGATCCTTGCTCGTTTTATGCTGCTATACTGTTTAGGTGCTTTGGTATATCGGAGTGTGGCTTGTGTTGATAGCCTCACTAGTTGTTACAAAAGGTATAACTGTGTTAGGAATGTGAACACGAATAATTAGGTTCACATGAAACAAAACTTACATGAGAGAGCTTAATAGCATGACTAAAAATTCTAATAAATTTTTAATACTGAGCACCTGTGATGAAATTTAAACAATTAAGTGAAAAAGAACACGCATAAGAAGTTAAAAAAATATAAGTCGCTTTTTTTGGTTATTTATTTTCTACTCTTATCTTAGTTACATCGTGATAGTGACATTTCCAGCAGCTCGATCACAAAATTATCCCGACGACTATTTTCGATGAACTTATAACTCCAACTATGGAGTCCTCGAGCGCTTCGCATATTGCAATACTTGTCCTCGAGCATATGCTCCCCTCACAACTTACGATTGTTGACCCTTTAGAATTCCTACGCAATTAGGACTCTAACTCAACCATATATTTGACTCCTGCAAGGATTCTATCTCACATATAATTATGGAATTTGACCAACTCCTTAACTATTCAGGACTCCAACAGATAAGGACATCCAATTAGTTGAGTCCCACTAGGAGAATGCCGCTTACTACTATAAATACAGAACATTGAGCCATTATTCAGGTACGTTTTTCATTATTTTCCAGCATATAGCCTCATGCATATAATTTCCTTTCTAACTTAAGCATTGGAGGGGCGACGAGAACACACCTCGTTGCCTTTGTTTCAGGTACCGGAAGACTACGATCGTGATCAATCCGAATCATCAAGCTCGAAAAATCTGCAGGTATGAATTTTGGTAGTATCATTGGCGCCGTCTGTGGGAAACGCTACCAAAAGTCATGGTTAACGCGCGATTAGGTCTTTCTTCTGCAAGCTCATCCGCTCTCATCCCTCATCCCGTCGAAGATCAACCGGCTCCTCATGAAGAATCCTCGGGAGTGCCCACACCTCTGCCAGCAATTATTACAACCGAAGTCTTTGAAGAGCTTCGTCAGCAGGTGGCCACGCTCACGCAACTGTTAAGTCAAAGAAAGTCACATCCGTTGCCAGCGCAGGCTAAGCATGGCGATTTTATGGCCGATGCTCGAGCACACCACCAAACCTAGCAAATGGCGGAGTTGGAACATCGGGCATTCATAATATGGCCTCGGGCTCGAGATCGGTCGCCATGGATTCTAGTGAAATTGCTTGGATCATTCAAGAAGGAATTACAGTTGGCCTGCAACGTAATGCTCGGGGGTCAACAAGCTTCACCCCTAACACTCCATTCACACCAGAGATATTGACATATCCCTTGCCTGACAGATTCAAGTATCCTCGCATTAAAGAGTATGATAGGACGATCGACCCCATCAATCATCTCAATGTATACATTGATGTCCTGAACTTGCAAGTCGCGCCGGATCAGGTTATGTGCAAAGCCTTTCCACAAACGCTGACTAATGCTACTAGGGATTGGTTCTCGACATTGGAGCCCAACTCCATAGCCTCATTCTCAGATTTGGCTGATAAGTTCTCAGCCTTCTTTGCAAGTAGTAAGCGAATCAGGAAGATCGCGGCCTCTCTCATGCAACTTCGCCAGGGACCAACTGAAACCCTGCGATGATTTATGACAAGGTTCAACAAGGAAAGGTTTCAAATACCCGACCTCCACATCACAGCAGCTGTCTCCGCCCTCACTTACATTGTAAGATGTGAGGCTTTCAAGATGTCTTTATCAAAGACCCCACCGCAGACAGTGATTGAGCTCCTTACCCGAGCTGAAAAATACATCAATATGGAGGAAACACTAAATCCAAGGAGACTCGGTCCTTCTCATGAAAAGATCGAGAAAAAAAGGCAACATGATCCCGTCCCCAGGCACGAGGTTCCTCGAGATAAGCGCAGGAACGAGGCGCCATCAGCACCTCTCACTCGGTTGAACACCTCTAAGACAAACATTTTGATGGAGGTTAAGGATATGAAAGAATTAAAGTGGTCTTCAAGGATGAAGTCGCCCCCTGACGCAAGAGATAGGAGCAAGTATTGTGAATTTCACCGGGATCATGGGCATACTACAGAGGACTGTCATGCTTTACAGCGAGAAATTGAAGCCCTTATCAAAAGAGGATTTTTAAATAATTACATTGGTCATGATAAACGGCCAAGGAATGACCGGGACAATCGGAAAGAGCCTGGGGCTGGAAGCAGTGCTCAACCCACTGCTGGAACCATTAATATTATCATTGGGGGCATAGCATCCGGTGGAGACACAAGTAGTGGGCGGAAGCAGTATGCCCGTCAACATGCTCATACCCCAAGAGAATCCAGTGATGAAGTTAATGACATCACTTTTGGTGCAAGAGATTTGGAAGGAATATTATATCCTCATGACGATGCCTTGGTCGTTTCTGCGGTTGTGGCTAACTTCGAAGTAAGGAGGATTCTGGTTGATAATGGGAGTGCTGCGAACATACTGTCCAAGGAGGCTTTCGCCAAAATGGGAATCTCTCCCAGGCAGCTCAAAGCAGTAAAAACTCCCCTACAAGGATTTGGTGGTGGAATCATTATCCCTGAAGGCATCGTCGAGCTCCTGCTTACATTAGGAGCTGGTAGTACACAAGTGACGGAGATCACACCATTCCAAGTGGTTAACACCCCAATGGCCTACAACATCATTCTAGGAAGACCCCTACTGAACAAGATCCAGGCTATTGTGTCAACTTTCCACCTCACCATGAAGTTCCCGACAGGTCATGGCGTCGGAGTAGTTCGAGGAGATCAAACGGCGGCTAGACAGTGCTATGTTACAAGCATCCGAGGCATGAGTGCTGACGTCATGCAACTCGTAGACCTCGAGCTCGAGCCAAGGGGTAGATTGGCCCCCGTTGAAGAATTGGAAGTGGTCGAGCTCGAGCATGGAAAAGCCGTTACTATTGGTGGGGATCTGAAGGCCAACCTCTGGGAGGAAGTCATCGGTTGTCTGTCCCGCAACATTGATGTTTTTGCATGGAATGTGGGAGATATGCCAGGGATAGACCTAGAAGTAGCTGTCCATAAACTTAATATCAGCCCAGGGGCCAAACCTGTTAAGCAAAGGAAGAGACAATTTGCGCCGGAAAGACGTGTGATCATTCAGGAAGAAGTCGGCAAATTGTTAGGAGCGGGGTTCATAAGAGAAGTCCAATTCCTCGATTGGCTCGCTAATGTTGTTCTGGTGTAAAAGCTCAGCGATAAGTGGAGGGTTTGCATTGACTTCACAAATCTGAATAAGGCATGCCTAAAGGACAGCTACCCACTACCTGGGATCGATAATCTTGTGGATAGCACATTCGGACATAAGTTGTACAGCTTCTTAGATGCATTCTCAGGATATCATCAAATCCTCATGGCCAAAGAAGACCAAGAGAAGACTTCATTCATGGCTGATTTAGCCATATATTGCTATAGGGTGATGTCATTTGGGTTGAAAAACGTTGGGGCTAGGGGTGGGCGCGGGTCGGTTCGGTTCGGTTCTAAAGAGAACCGAACCAAACTGAACTTTTCGGATATCTAGTAAATGAAACCGTCGGCTCCAAATATAATTATGGAATCGTTCGGGTTCGGTTCCAGTCGGTTTAGTTCGGTTCGGTTCTGTACTATAATTAATTTCTTTAACATTTATAACAACATTATAAATACAACTAATGATACATTCAATAGTTTTGGAATGTTAGAGACTAGTAAACTACCTTGTTCAAATGATCGCTACGATCAAAGTTTCGGTTGGCAAAGGTCACAGTTTCGATCAGAGGTCACAGTGTCGATCGATAATTGTATAGGTTTTGGAATATTAGTGAGGCTGCGAGAGTGAGTGCGAGAGTCGAGACAATGTTATGTACTTTGGTGTTGGTGTTTAGGGTTATTTAGTGGATTTGATCTTGCTTGGCTAAGAAATGAAGCAATAAAATAGGTAATTGGGCCAAAATTTTGGATTTAGAAATCGTTAATTTGTTTAGAAAAAATTAAAATAATTTGATTTACTCAATATAAAAAAAAAATTAGAAAGATTCAGTTCTTATTTGGTTCTAGGTCTAGAACCGAGAACCGAACCGTACCCGTCGGTTCTCAATTCAGATACCCGTTCAGGTATTTAATTTGACAAGAACCGTCGGGTTCGGTCGGTTCGGTTCGGGAGATTTGCCCAGCCCTAGCTGGGGCAACATATCAGAGGCTCATCAACAAAGTCTTCGTCGATTTGATAGGGAAGAACATCGAGGCCTATGTGGATGACATGGTTGTAAAAAGTAAGAAGATGGAGGAACATATATCCGACCTTGAGGATGTGTTCGCCACCCTACGAAAATATAAGATGAAGCTCAACCCAAAGAAGTGTGTATTTGGCGTAGCTTCAAGAAAGTTTCTGGGTTTCATGATCGCTCATCGGGGGATTGAGGCTAACCCCGACAAAATTCAGGCTCTGGCAGCAATGGAATCACCAAGGACCAAGAAAGAGGTTCAAAAGTTGATAGGCAAGGTAGCCGCCTTAAACAGGTTCATGTCCCGAACAGCAGACAGGTGCTTCCCCTTCTTCAAAGCCCTCAGGGGTAACCATTGTTTTGAATGGAATGAGGAGTGTGAGAAGGCTTTTCAGGAGCTCAATCAGACATTAGAATCTCCTCCTATCCTCACCAAACCCAAGCTCGGATATACTTTGTATTTGTACTTAGCCGTATCTCAGAATGCAGTGAGTGGTGTCTTGGTGAAAGAGGTTAATAGGGGCCAGCAACCCATTTATTACGTAAGCAAAGTCCTACTTGATGCAGAAACAAGATACACTTCGGCAGAGCAACTTGCCCTTGCACTGATAGTAGCGGGACGAAAACTTCGGCAATGTTTTCAGTCACATCCTATTGTTGTGCTTACCAATCAGCCTCTGAAACACATTCTTTAGAAACCAGACGTCTCAGGAAGATTACTAAGGTGGGCAATTGAACTCGGAGAATTTGACATAGAGTTCAAGCCCCGTCCATCTATCAAAGCTTAGGCCTTAGCTAACTTCATTGCAGAACTCACTCCAAGGCCTCGTGGGCCAGATAGTAGCTCGAGCATAACTGCGTGGGAAATTTTCGTAGATAGAGCATCGAACTCCTCGGGCTCGGGCGCAGGGGTCATAATCATATGTCCGGACATGTTCATAAATATTCAGTGTGCACTAAGGTTCGAATTTGAGGCAACCAATAATGAAGCTGAGTATGAGGCCGTCATCATAGCTATGGAACTTGCCATAAATCTCGAGCTTGAAAATATCAAAATTTATAGTGATTCCCAGTTGGTGGTTGAGCAAATCGAAGGGACGTTCGATAGAAAGGATGAGAAGATGAGCTTATACTGTTTGAAAGTGCATGATCTCCAGAGAAAGTTCAAGAGTTGTGAAATTGTAAAAATTTCTCGGGCTAAGAATTGTAGGGCAGATGCCTTGTCAAGATTGGTGTTCATGGGAATTGATGGGCTTGACAGGACAGTCCACGTCAGAATTGTAACCAAGCCAAGCATCAATCAGACCGTAGGCGTCATGGATATTGATAATGAGCCATTATGGATGGACTCAATAGTGGACTTCATAAAACATGGCAGTCTTCCAGCAGATCCTCGAGCAGCGAGAAGCATCCAGTCCAAAGCTCCGAGGTATTGCATGATTGAAGGTATTTTATTTCGCAGGAGTCTCACACTTCCGTACCTCAGATGCCTTAGGCCTTTCGAATCATCCTAGGCCCTAGAAGAAGTTCATAAAGGTTTATGTGGGAACCATCAAGGAGCACGGGCTTTAGCCTTCAAGCTCATAAGGTATGGATATTATTGGCCAACCATGAAGAAAGACGCCCAGGAATATGTCAAGAAGTGTGACAAGTGCCAAAGATTTGGCAATGTCATCCACCCTCCCGCAAAAGACCTCACTAGCATTAGTTGCACAGCCCCATTTGAGCAATGGGAAATTGACATCCTTGGTCCCTTTCCAATAAGTAGGGGACAATTGAAGTTTGTGGCTGTGGCTGTAGAGTATTTCACTAAGTGGGTAGAGGTCGAGCCTTTAGCAACAATTTCAGAGTCGAAGTTAAGAAGTTTCATTTGGAGATCCATCATATGCAGGTTCGGGATACCGAAAGTCCTCATAACTGATAATGGCAGGCAGTTTGACAATGCACAATTTAAAAACTTTTGTACCGACCTAGGGGTTGATCACCGTTTGATGTTGGTTTCCCATCCTCAAAGTAATGGTCTCGCCGAAGTGACCAATCGGATTATTTTGTAAGACCTCCGTACAAGGATTGGCGATACAAGAGGTTCCTGGTCTGACGAGTTGCCTTCCATACTTTGGACGTATAGAACGTCACACAAAACTGCTACAGGGGAAACCCCCTCCATGTTGGCTTTCGGAATTGAGGCCACCATCCCTATTGAAGTCAGGTTGCCCAGCCAAAGGAGGCTCGAGCCCGAAGATGCAGGGCGCACAACTGAGCACCTCGACCTCTTGGAAGAAGTTCGGGATCAGGCAACTTTAAAAATGGCCTCCTACTAGGATAAAACAGCAAAGTACTTCAATAAATAAGTAAGGACGCGGAGATTTAGAGCCGGAGACCTTGTGTTAAGAAGGGTTGAAGCAGAAGGTCATGCCCCGGGCAAGGTAGGAACAGTTTGGGAAGGGCCCTTCGAAGTCATACGACAACTCCAAGTAGGCGCATACAGTTTAAGGGATACGTCAGGAAGGCCGCTTCCAAGACCATGGAACGCCGAGAATTTAAAGATATATTACAAGTAACTTGGTCTTCCAGTTATCCGTAGTCAGGCCTGCGCATCAAGGTTCACGTTTTCAATTATCAGGCCTGCGTGCCAAGTTTTTCGGTAGTCAGGCCTGCGTGCCAAGGTTCACGTTTTTAATTGTCAGGCCTGCGTGCCAAGTCTGTTTTTGAAGTATAATAAGAATTAAGCAATTCGTCAAAATATGATCTAGTTACAAAAAGCCTTGTTCCGCGCAAACAATCAAAAAAGCCTTGCTGCCCCACGCAAGCAATCAAAAAAGCCTTGCCCCGCGCAAGCAACTCAAACCTTGCCCCGCGCAAGCACGTCTAGTAACATTCCCGATCACACAGTGCCCGATCAATGGTATGAGAGATTGATTAGTGTAATTCACTCATTAAACTAAAGCTTCTAAATCACGTTTTTTGATGTGTTCTTGAGCATTTTTGAACGTTTTGATGTGTGTGTTAGTGTTGTTTTGCAGTTTGGACAACTTTCGAGAAAATACCACTATTGGGAGCCGATGATGAGCAAAAATGATGATCAATGAAATGGAGCATGAATAAGCAAGTATTGAATAAGATTGGAGTGGAAAATAGGCTTGGAAAAACAAAAAGAAGAGAAGCAAAGCAGTGGCATTGGGCGCTATGGCGCCCAATGAATGAAAAAAACGAGCAGAAACTTGGGCGCTACGGCGCCAGACCTGGGCGCCATGGCGCCTGTTCCCAAAACGTTAAAACTCGAGTTTTTAAGTATCTTTTCGGCCCAAAAATCATACACTAACCCTTGAGGACTCTTAGAAAATATAAATACCTAGATGAAGAACAAGAGAAGGGTTTTAGACGGCTGAAGAGGCAAGAAAAAGAGAGGCACCAATTGAGGGAAGATCCACCCGATTTTGGAGAAGAAGAAGGGAGAAACTGAGAAATCAAGCAACAAGATTGAGAAATAGAGCAGCAACCTGAGTTTTTTCTTATCTTTCTCTTCTCCATGCGATTTAATTTGTATTTTATCACGTTCTTCTTCTCAATCATGAACTAAGTTATTAAATTTAGGGTTTGATGTGACCTATTTGAGACATGATTCAATTTCTTTATAGTATTTCCATTTAATTTTTCAGAATTGATTTGTATTGTTCTTGCTTAATGCTTTCAGTTGCCTGATCACCAATTGAATGAATTGATGCTCTAAATTTGACGCTCGAGAGAGGGAAATTTAGGCGTGATCTAAGAACAATATAACCTAGGTTTGTAGGTTTCGAGAGAAAGTACGAATCTTTGAGGATAAAACAAGAACCAAGTGCGTGATAATCTTTATATATTTAATTCGAAATAGAGATATTGGGGTTAAAATATAGAGATAGGTTCTATTTGACGCTCGAGAGGGGGAAATGGAATTAATTTAGGATTCTTGCCTATGAATTCGAGAAATAGTTGATGGAAATATCTATAGGAATTGAGAATTATGTTGAGAATACGGTGAAATCATTCCCTAGACATTACGTAAGTTTGATTTAGTCTTTAGAAATTGCCTCACTTTTATTGCACTATTTAATTCATTGACGTTAGTTTAGTATTCAAACATTAATTTGACGCTCGATTGTCTAGATAAAGTAAACGCGGACACAATTATAGTGCTCAGTGAAAGTCGAATATCAATCCCTGTGGGTTCGATACTTTTCAATTCTTTAATATGCTACAAAACTTGACACCGTGCGCTTGTGGTATAAAATCACGTTATATAAATTGCGTGGCAAGTTTTTGGCATCGTTGCCGGGGAAATGGAATTAATTTAGGATTCTTGCCTATGAATTCGGGAAATAGTTGATGGAAATATCTATAGGGATTGAGAATTATGTCGAGAATACGGTGAAATCATTCCCTAGACATTACGTAAGTTTGATTTAGTCTTTAGAAATTGTCTCACTTTTATTGCACTATTTAATTCATTGACGTTAGTTTAGTATTCAAACATTAATTTGACGCTCGATTGTCTAGACAAAGTAAACGCGGGCACAATTATAGTACTCAGTGAAAGTCGAATATCAATCCCTGTGGGTTCGACACTTTTCAATTCTTTAATATACTATAAAACTTGATACCGTGCGCTTGCGGTATAAAATCACGTTATATAAATTGCGTGGCAAGTTTTTGGCGCCGTTGCCGGGGATTGATTCATTCGAATTCAATTGATATTATTACCAATCGGCGTTCATTTTACTCTAGATTTTTATTTTTACCGTTATTTTTATTTTACTCCTTTTGTGTCTATCTTTAAAAGCTTCCTTTTGATTATTTTCAGCTGTTTATGCGAAGGGCGAGAAATCTAGATCTACTACCTGTTGATCCTAAACCAGAACGCACATTTCGCATTCTCAGAGACATACAAAGAAAGGAACGGGAAGCAGTGGCAGAACAGGATGTTAGAGCAGCCAATGAGGATAACCAACAAAGGGCTATTCGGGATTACATAAGGCTGGTTGTCAATGACAACTATTCCGGCATCGCATGCCCAGCAATTGCTGCAAACAATTTCGAATTGAAGCCAGGGTTGATACATATGGTACAGCAAAATCAGTTTAGGGATGCTGCAGTAGAAGACCCAGATGCTCATCTTGGATCCTTTTTGGAAATTTGTGACACGGTGAAGATGAATGGGGTTACTGAAGATGCAATTAGACTCCGCCTATTCTCATTCTCTTTAAGGGATAAAGCAAAGGCTTGGTTCCAATCACTACCGTATGGCTCAATTACAACTTGGGATGATTTGGCTCAGAAATTCCTCACTAAGTACTTTCCACCTTCTAAATCAGCTCAACTTCGCGGTGAAATTAGCCAATTCAAACAACTCGACTTCGAGCCATTCTATGAAGCCTGGGAAAGATTTAAAGATTTGCTTAGGAGATGTTCTCAACATGGGTTCCAGAAATGGGTGCAAATTGAGATATTTTATAATGGGCTAAATGGGCAGACAAGGACTATGGTCGATGCGGCTGCGGGAGGCATTTTAATGGCTAAAACAGCAGAGGCTGCATATGCTTTATTGTATGACATAGCCACTAACAGTTACCAATGGCCAAGTGAGAGATCGGGTGTAAAGAAAGTAGCAGGACTTCATGAAGTGGATCCCATCACTGCACTAGTAGCTCAGGTTGCATCGCTCACAAATCAGATAGTCACGCTTACCACTTAAGGAAACCAACAGAAGGTAGATTCAGTCATGAATACTTCTTCTTCACACCAAGAGACAGAGGTTGCAAACGAGCAGACCCAATATGTCAACAGTAGAAACTACAATCAAAGAGGAAGCTACCAAGCTAATCACTATCATCCAGGGCTTATGAATCACGAGAACTTGTCATATGGCAACAATAGAAATACACTAAAACCTCCACCCGGATTCAACACTCAGAATTCTGATGGGAAACCACCATTGGAAGACATCCTTGGGACATTCATTTCTGAGACAAGATCACGCTTCAACAAAGATGAATCACGTTTGGATAATATTGAAACATGTGTCCAACATGGGAGCCACAATGAAGAATGTTGAAGTGCAAATTGGCCAATTGGCTACCTCAATGAAGTCTCAGCAAAAAGGAAAATTTCCAAGTGATACAGAGGTCAATCCAAAGGAGCACTGTAAAGTTGTTATATTAAGGAGTGGCAAGCAAGTTGGAGAAAGTGAACTCACTGAAGATAGCAACCCCGTACCTGATAAGGAGAAAGAACAAGTAGTAGAAGAGCAAGAAAAGCTGGCCAAATGAACAAATAAGGACCACAAACCTTATTCCATATCCTTCCCTGACAACCCACCAATTCTCACACCACCACTTCCATTTCCACAGTGTTTTCAAAAGAAAAAATTTGATAATCAATTTGCAAAATTTTTAGAAATTTTCAAGAAAATTCATATTAATATTCCTTTTGCAGATGTTTTGGAACAAATGCCAAATTACGCAAAGTTTATGAAGGAAGTGATGTCAAAGAAGCGAAAATTGGAGGAATATGAAACAGTAAAATTGACAGAAGAATGCAGCGCTATTCTTCAAAAGAAACTTCCTCAGAAGAGAAAAGATCCGGGCAGCTTCACTATTCCGTGCACCATTGGAAGCTCTTCCTTTGAAAAGGCCCTCTGTGATCTAGGAGCAAGCATCAATTTAATGCCACTATCAGTATTCAAGAAGTTAGGCCTCGGGGAGGTCAAGCCAACAACAGTGACTCTACAACTAGCTGATAGGTCCCTCACCTACCCACGAGGAATTATTGAAGACGTGTTGGTAAAGGTCGACAAATTCATCTTCCCAACTGATTTTGTGGTATTGGATATGGAAGAAGATCAGGAAATTCCACTGATTTTAGGCAGACCATTTTTAGCAACTGGAAGGGCATTAATTGATGTACAAGGGGGACAATTGACATTGAGAGTGAATGAAGAAGAGGTGAGGTTCAACATTTACCAAGCAATGAAGTACTCAGATGACAATGACACTTGCCACAGGATTGACTTCATTGATTCTGCTGTGAGAGATGAGAAATTATGTATTGAAGATCCTCTAGAGCAATGTATGATGTTTAGTACAACAAAGGATGATATTAGCACTTTTGGAGAGTACATCGGGAGCAAGGATTTGGTTGATTACATATTGGCTCTTGAGTCTACATCAATTGTGGAAAACCCATCACAATGTGAGGATATTCAACAGTCAAAGGAAGCAGATGACAAAGAAAGCAATGAAAGCAGTAAGATTGAACTGAAGCAACTACCAGATCACCTTCGCTATGCATTCCTGGGGGATAAGTCTGCATTTCCAGTAATTATTTCTTCATCACTCACCATAGACGAAGAGGATAGATTATTGAAAGTGTTGAGGGATCATAAGGCCTCTTTGGGATGGTCGATAACTGACATCAATGGGATAAGTCCTACAATCTGCATGCATAAAATCCTCATGGAAGTCTTTCAAGCCATCCATCGAACATCAAAGAAGGTTAAACCCAGCAATGAAAGAAGTGGTTCAAGCGGAGATTCTAAAGCTATTGAAGGCAGGAATCATTTTTTCCATTTCAGACAGTGAATGGGTCAGCCCAGTGCAAGTGGTACCGAAGAAAGGAGGGATGACAGTAGTTAAGAACGACAGCAATGAGCTAATTCCAACAAGAACAGTAACTGGCTGGAGGGTGTGCATTGATTACAGGAAACTGAACAAGGCAACTAGAAAGGACCATTTTCCACTGTCGTTCATAGATCAAATGTTGGACAGATTAGCTGGCTACTCTCACTATTGCTTTCTTGATGGATATTCGGGCTACAACCAGATTGCTATAGCACCAGAAGATCAGGAAAAGACAACCTTCACCTGTCCATATGGAACTTTTGCTTACAGACGGATGCCATTCGGGTTACGCAATGCACCAGCCACTTTTCAGATATGCATGATGGCAATCTTTGCAGACATGATTGAAGACATCATGGAGGTATTTATGGATGACTTCTCGGTGTTCGGTACTTCATTTAATAACTACCTTCATAATGTCTCTTTAGTGCTGCAACGCTGTGAGGAAAGGAATTTAGTTCTCAATTGGGAAAAGTGCCACTTCATGGTACAAGAAGGTATTGTGCTAGGCTATCATGTTTCGGCGAGGGGATTGGAAGTGGACAGAGCAAAAATTGATACAATTGAAAAGCTACCACCACCCACCAATGCCAAAGGCATTCGAAGTTTCCTAGGGCACGCTGGATTCTATAGGAGATTCATCAAAGAATTCTCAAAAGTGGCAAAACCCCTATGTAACCTTTTGGAGAAGGACACAACGTTCGTATTTGATGAAGACTGCTTACGGGCTTTTGAAACCATAAAGGCAAAGTTAGTCACTACCCCAGTGATGGTAGTACCAGATTGGGATCAGCCATTTGAGGTTATGTGTGATGCTAGTGATTACGCAGTAGGGGCAGTTTTAAGACAAAGGCATGATAAGATTTTTCGGGATCCACTATGCTAGCAAAACTCGTAATGGAGCTCAACTAAATTACACAACAATAGAGGAGGAAATGCTAGCAGTAGTGTTTGCATGTGACAAATTCAGATCTTACCTCATTGGCACCAAAGTGATAATTTACACGGACCATGCTGCAATCCGTTATCTCTTTCAAAAGAAGGATGCCAAGCAACGCCTAATTCGATGGATACTGCTACTACAGGAATTTGATGTAGAGATTTGGGATAAGAAAGGCAGCGAGAATGTCGTTGCAGACCATCTCTCACGATTGGAGAATGAAAAGGTGGTGGATGACAGTCAAATTCGAGAAACGTTCCTCGATGAGATCTTGCTAGCTGTATCAACAAAGATCCCATGGTATGGTGATTTTGTTAACTATTTAGTGTCTGGAAGGTTGCCACCTGACTTGACCTTTCATCAAAAGAAGAAATTCCTACATGATGTCAAGTCATTTCTGTGGGATGATCCAATCTTGTTCAAAAGGTGTGCTGATAGAATAATTAGGCGGTGTGTCCCTGTGGAAGAAACGCGATCAATCATGCAGCATTGCCATTCCTCACCCTATGGAGGTCATTTCGGTCCTACACGTAATGCTGCAAAGGTATTGCAATCTAGTTTCTATTGGCCAAATTTGTTCAAAGACTACTATGTTTTTGTGAAAACATGTAACCTCTGTCAACGCACTGGAAACATTTCAAGACATCATGAGCTACCATTAACCAGTATGCTTGAGGTGGAATTATTTGATGTGTGGGGTATTGATTTCATAGGTCCATTTCCACCTTCCTTTGGTCAAGAGCATATTCTTCTCGCAGTAGATTATGTGTCTAAGTGGGTTGAAGCCATTGCCACACCAACAAATGATGCAAAGGTGGTGTTGAAATATTTATAGAAAAACATCTTCACTCGGTTTGGCACGCCTAGAGCAATCGTAAGTGACGGAGGTACACAATTCTGTAACAAGCTTTTCAATTCTCTTCTAGCTAAGTATGATGTCAAGCACAAGTTGGCATTGGGTTATCATCCACAGTCAAATGGGCAAGCAGAGGTGTCTAACAGAGAGATTAAACAGATTCTAGAAAAGACAGTGGATACCAATCAGAAGGACTGGTCTCTCAAACTAGATGACGCTCTTTGGGCATACCGAACAGCATTTAAAACTCCAATTGGAATGTCACCCTACCGTCTGGTATTCGGGAAAGCTTGTCATCTACCGGTAGAATTGGAGCATCGAGCTTATTGGATTGTGAAGAAATTGAATTTAGATATGAAATTGGCGGGTCCACAACGCTTGTTGCAGCTTGATGAGTTGGAGGAATTCCGGAACGATGCATATGAAAATGCAAAGATATATAAAGAATGGACAAAGATGTGGCATGGCAAGAGAATACTAAGGAGGGATTCTAAGGCAGGAGAACCGGTTCTTCTATTCAATTCTCGCTTGAAACTCTTTCCCGGTAAGCTCAAATTCCGGTGGTCAGGACCATTTGTAATCCGCAAGGTGTTCCCTTATGGTGCAATGGAATTAGTAGGCAAGGATGGGTCTACCTTTCAGGCAAATGGGCAACGCCTCAAACATTACTATGGAGAGAAAAACTGGGATGTGGAAGAAATTACCCTTGATGAAGCAACTTGAAACCACATCCACGTCCAGCTAAAGACGTAAAAGAAGCACTTATTGGCAGGCAATCAAGTTCTATTCCTTAAGTTTCTTTTCATTATTTTGACATGTTTTTTTCCTCTTACGCCAATTTGATAAGTTCGTTTTTTATTTATTTATTTTGTAGGTCATGCTCAAAATGGTTGCATCAACACTCTAATCAATATAGGAAAGGAATAGGTAGGAAGTAAATAATAAAAAAAAAAAATTCAGTAACATGGGCGCCACGGCGCCCAACACGTTTTTATCCTTAAAACAACAACACAATCTTTTTCTTTTCATTTCCCTACCCACAAAATCCTTATACTCTTCTTTCCTTTCAAATCTCCTCCTCTTTTCCCCACACTTGCACACACCAATTCTCTCATACTACCCCATATTTATAAGTTATTACATCTATAACAACCCATATCTTAGAAGTGAAAAGCTAGTGACTAGTTCATCAAAGAAGGTACATTCCTTTACAATGCAGAGTTTTTTTTTTTTTTGGTAGTGTAATTTGAACTTCTTTTGGTAATCTTGTTTAGGACTATGTCAAAATATCATTTGTCTTTGTTGGGTTGTGTTTTGGTAAAGCTTGTGTGGGCCTTTGTTTTATCTTCGAAATTATTTTGTTATATGCCTACCATGTGTTTGTTCTTTTTCCTCTTTGACATTCTTTGCCAATGTTGGAATCTATGTTAGAAGACTTTGCAATTTCCTATGGGCTTGAACTTTCCTAACTACTAATATATTGTCTTGCTCACAGAGTGTTTGATAAATGTCACCAAAGACGTCTTTTGTACGATTCTTGGGATAGTTTTGATGGCTTGCATTCAACTTTGTACTTGTTTATTGTAGACGCCTACCACACGTTCGATACTTTGTTTCATTAAGATTTTCATGCCTACTTGGGACTCACTTCATTTTCTAAGACAAAATCTTTTAATTGATTGAGGTGGACGGTTAACTTCAGTTGATTTTGTGCAAGAACACTTCCTCCATGCCTCCTAAAAAGAAATCCAGGGCCACTGCCTCTTCCTCTACTACTGCATTTGATCGTCGACGATTCATTAGTTCTGAAGCAGAGGAATGCTATAGACATAGTGTGGTATATCGAAATTGCATTCCTGAGAGGGGCCTTGATAATTTTTTACCAGATAAAATCCACAGTTTGGGGTGGGAGAAGTTTACCAAGCAACCTAGTGCTGCATCAATTCCTCTGGTGAAAGAGTTCTATGCTAACGCCAATGAACATGAGAACTTCAAGGTTTTTGTACGGGGTTTTTGGATCAAGTTTGATAGTGCCTCCATTAACCAGTTCTACCATACGCGGGATATACCCAATGATGACTATTCCCGACTCTGGAATGAGGGGATCGATCCTGGGGAGATAATTCGCACTATAGCTTGCCTTGATATCGAATGGAAAGGATCAGCTAGTGATGTAACCCACTTCCCTTCATCTGGTCTGACGCCCAATTGTAAAATCTGGCACCACTTCATATCATCCAAACTGATTCCCAGTAGCAACACTAGTGAGGTCACAAAGGAACGGGCCTTACTGAATTTTGTGATTTAAAAAGGATATTCTATTGATGTTGGTCGAGTCATCCAAAATAGTATTCTTTGCATCCTTGTTGGGCCCACTACAGGCAGTCTGGGTCACCCCTCTTTGATCCATGACCTTTGCATACAAGGAGGTGTTCCCGTACGCGAAACTGATGAAGTGTTACACTCGAAACAATCACTTACACGGGACCTCCGTGATAGGCGTGTGGGACATCGGGAAGTGCCTAGCTCTTCTCAATCATCTCGTCCGTTACCCCCTACACCATCACCCCCACAACCTTCAGATGCTACGGGGGACGTCCTTCGGCGTCTTGAAGCCATGGATTTGCGCATGAGCCGATGGCAGGAGGGCATGCAAGTACAAATGAATCATTTACAATCCACTATCTTTGACCAATTTCAATAACAGAATGCTTGCATGGCGGTTATGGCATCTGCACATCCCGAGCTCACCTTCCCTCCACCGCCATCACTTCCACCTCATTCCCACCCTCCTGCTCTACTTGATGAAGAGGAAGACGATTGATGTCTTCACTGATGTATCTCTCTTCCTCTTCTTCCATTTTAACATTGGGGGCAATGTGTAGTTTAAGTTTGGAGGGGAAGGGTATCTTAAATTTTCTAAAATTTAAAATTGCCTATTTTATTTATTTATTTTGTATGATTGTGTGCATCTAAAAAATAAATAAATTATTTCATGTTTTGCATACTTGTGTGAGCTAGATAGTCTTGTTGGCGATGATGTATAATAGTAAGAGCATGTATTGGTTCATGGATTATGGATAAGTTACATGTGTGAGTTAGATTTTTGTTTATTCGTGTGAAACGGAAATTATTTTTGCACGTGGGTTGATTGTAGCGTTGTAC